GCCCCAGAGCATCGCGATGCTCTCCCCGGACGCCCCAGAGCGTCGCGATGCTCTCCCCGGACGCCCCAGAGCGTCGCGATGCTTCCCTGGACGCCCCAGAGCGTCGCGATGCTCTACCCAGCCGCCCCAGAGCGTCGCGATGCTCTCCCCGGAGCCCCCAGAGCGTCGCGATGCTCTCCCCGGACGCCCCAGAGCGTCGCGATGCTCTCCCCGGACGCCCCAGAGCGTCGCGATGCTCTCCCTGGACGCCCCAGAGCGTCGCGTGCTCGCCCCGGACGCCCCAGAGCGTCGCGATGCTCTCCCAGGACGCCCCAGAGCGTCGCGGATGCTCTCCCCGAACGCCCCAGAGTGTCGCGATCCTCTCCCCGGACGCCCCAGCCAGAGCGTCGCGATGCTCTCCCTGGACGCCCCAGAGCGTCGCGATGCTCTCCCCGAACGCCCCAGAGTGTTGCGATGCTCTCCCCCGGACGCCCCAGAGCGTAGCGATGCTCTCCCGAACGCCCCAGAGCGTCGCGATGCTCTCCCCGGACGCCCCAGAGCGTCGCGATGCTCTCCCCAGACGCCCCAGAGCGTCGCGATGCTCTCCCCGGACGCCCCAGAGCGTCGCGATGCTCTCCCTAGCCGCCCCAGAGCGTCGCGATGCTCTCCCCAGACGCCCCAGAGCGTCGCGATGCTCTCTCCGCACGCCCCAGAGCATCGCGATGCTCTCCCCGGGAGCCCCAGAGCGTCGCGATGCTCTCCCCGGACGCCCCAGAGGGTCGCGATGCTCTCCCCGGACGCCCTAAAGCGTCGCGATGCTCTCCCCGGACGCCCCAGAGCGTCGCGATGCTCTCCCTGGACGCCCCAGAGCGTCGCGATGCTCTCCCTGGACGCCCCAGAGCGTCGCGATGCTCTCCCAGGACGCCCCAGAGCGTCGCAATGCTCTCCCCGAACGCCCCAGAGTGTCGCGATGCTCTCCCCGGACGCCCTTGAGCGTTGCGATGCTCTCCCGAACGCCCCAGAGCGTCGCGATGCTCTCCCCGGACGCCCCAGAGCGTCGCGATGCTCTCCCCGGACGCCCCAGAGCGTCGTGATGCTCTCTCCGGACGCCCCAGAGCGTCGCGTTGCTCTCCCCGGACGCCCCAGAGCGTCGCGATGCTCTCCCCGGACGCCCCAGAGCGTCGCGATGCTCTCTCCGGACGCCCCAGAGCGTCGCGATGCTCTCCCCGAACGCCCCAGAGCGTCGCGATGCTCTCCCCGGACGCCCCAGAGCGTCGCGATGCTCTCCCCGGACGCCCCAGAGCGTCGCGATGCTCTCCCCGACCGCCCCAGAGTGTCGCGATGCTCTCCCCGGACGCCCCAGAGCATCGCGATGCTCTCCCCAGCCGCCCTAGAGCGTCGTGATGCTCTCCCCGGACGCCCCAGAGCGTCGCGATGCTCTCCCCGGATGCCCCAGAGCGTCACGATGCTCTCCCCGGACGCCCCACAGCGTCGCGATGCTCTCCCAGGACGCCCCAGAGTGTCGCGATGCTCTCCCCGGACGCCCCAGAGCGTTGCGATGCTCTCCCGAACGCCCCAGAGCGTCGCGATGCTCTCCCCGGACGCCCCAGAGCGTCGTGATGCTCTCCCCGGACGCCCCAAAGCGTCGCGACGCTCTCCTCGGACGCCCCAGAGCGTCGCGACGCTCTCCCCGGACGCCCCAGAGCGTCGCGATGCTCTCCCCGGAAGCCCCAGAGCATTACGATGCTCTCTCAGGACGCCCCAGAGCGTCGCGATGCTCTCCCCGGACGCCCCAGAGCGTCGCGATGCTCTCCCCAGCCGCCCCAGAGCGTCGCGATGCTCTCCCCAGACGCCGCAGAGCGTCGCGATGCTCTCCCCGGACGCCCCAGAGCGTCGCGATGCTCTCCCCGGGCGCCCCAGAGCGTCGCGATGCTCTCCCCGGACGCCCTAGAGCGTCGCGATGCTCTCCCCGGACGCCCCAGAGCGTCGCGATGCTCTCCCAGGACGCCCCAGAGCGTCGCGATGCTCTCCCCGGACGCCCCAGAGCGTCGCTATGCTCTTCCCGGACGCCCCAGAGCGTCGCGATGCTCTCCTCGGACGCCCCAGAGCATCGCGATGCTCTCCCCAGCCGCCCCAGAGCGTCGTGTTGCTCTCCCCGGACGCCCCAGAGCGTCGCGATGCTCTCCCCGGACGCCCCAGAGCGTCGCGATGCTCTCCCTAGCCGCCCCAGAGCATCGCGATGCTCTCCCCGGACGCCCCAGAGCGTCGCGATGCTCTCCCCGGACGCCCCAGAGCGTCGCTATGCTCTCCCCGGACGCCCCCAAAGCGTCGCGATGCCCTCCTCGCACTCCCCAGAGCGTCGCGATGCTCTCCCAGGACGCCCCAGAGCGTTGCGATGCTCTCCCCGGACGCCCCAGAGCGTCGCTATGCTCTTCCCGGACGCCCCTGAGCGTTGCGATGCTCTCCCCGGAAGCCCCAGAGCATCGCGATGCTCTCCCCGGACGCCCCAGAGCGTCGCGATGCTCTCCCCAGACGCCCCAGAGCGTCGCTATGCTCTTCCCGGACGCCCCAGAGCGTCGCGATGCTCTCCCCGGACGCCCCCAGAGCATCGCGATGCTCTCCCCAGCCGCCCCAGAGCGTCGTGATGCTCTCCCCGGACACCCGGAGAGCGTCGCGATGCTCTCCCCGGACGCCCCCAGAGCGTCGCGATGCTCTCCCCGGACGCCCCAGAGCGTCGCGATGCTCTCCCTAGCCGCCCCAGAGCGTCGCGATGCTCTCCCCGGACGCCCCAGAGCGTCGCAATGCTCTCCCCGGACGCCCCAGAGCGTCGCGATGCTCTCCCAGGACGCCCCAGAGCGTCGCGATGCTCTCCTCGCACTCCCCAGAGCGTCGCGATGCTCTCCCAGGACGCCCCAGAGCGTCGCGATGCTCTCCCCGGACGCCCCAGAGCGTCGCGATGCTCTCTCCGGACGCCCCAGAGCGTCGCGATGCTCTCCCCGGACGCCCCAGAGCGTCGCGATGCTCTCCCCGGACGCCCCAGAGCGTCGCGATGCTCTCCCCGGGACGCCCCAGAGCGTCGCGATGCTCTCCCCGGCCGCCCCAGAGTGTCGCGATGCTCTCCCTGGACGCCCCAGAGCATCGCGATGCTCTCCCCAGCCGCCCTAGAGCGTCGTGATGCTCTCCCCGGACGCCCCAGAGCGTCGCGATGCTCTCCCCGGATGCCCCAGAGCGTCACGATGCTCTCCCCGGACGCCCCACAGCGTCGCGATGCTCTTCCAGGACGCCCCCAGAGTGTCGCGATGCTCTCCCCGGACGCCCCCAGAGCGTTACGATGCTCTCCCGAACGCCCCAGAGCGTCGCGATGCTCTCCCCGGACGCCCCAGAGCGTCGCGATGCTCTCCCCGGACGCCCCCAGAGCGTCGCTATGCTCTTCCCGGACGCCCCAGAGCGTCGCGATGCTCTCCTCGGACGCCCCAGAGCATCGCGATGCTCTCCCCAGCCGCCCCAGAGCGTCGTGTTGCTCTCCCCGGACGCCCCAGAGCGTCGCGATGCTCTCCCCGGACGCCCCAGAGCGTCGCGATGCTCTCCCTAGCCGCCCCAGAGCATCGCGATGCTCTCCCCGGACGCCCCAGAGCGTCGCGATGCTCTCCCAGGACGCCCCAGAGCGTCGCGATGCTCTCCCCGGACGCCCCAGAGCGTCGCTATGCTCTTCCCGGACGCCCCAGAGCGTCGCGATGCTCTCCTCGGACGCCCCAGAGCATCGCGATGCTCTCCCCAGCCGCCCCAGAGCGTCGTGTTGCTCTCCCCGGACGCCCCAGAGCGTCGCGATGCTCTCCCCGGACGCCCCAGAGCGTCGCGATGCTCTCCCTAGCCGCCCCAGAGCATCGCGATGCTCTCCCCGGACGCCCCAGAGCGTCGCGATGCTCTCCCCGGACGCCCCAGAGCGTCGCTATGCTCTCCCCGGACGCCCCAAAGCGTCGCGATGCCCTCCTCGCACTCCCCAGAGCGTCGCGATGCTCTCCCAGGACGCCCCAGAGCGTTGCGATGCTCTCCCTGGACGCCCCAGAGCGTCGCTATGCTCTTCCCGGACGCCCCTGAGCGTTGCGATGCTCTCCCCGGAAGCCCCAGAGCATCGCGATGCTCTCCCCGGACGCCCCAGAGCGTCGCGATGCTCTCCCCAGACGCCCCAGAGCGTCGCTATGCTCTTCCCGGACGCCCCAGAGCGTCGCGATGCTCTCCCCGGACGCCCCAGAGCATCGCGATGCTCTCCCCAGCCGCCCCAGAGCGTCGTGATGCTCTCCCCGGACACCCGAGAGCGTCGCGATGCTCTCCCCGGACGCCCCAGAGCGTCGCGATGCTCTCCCCGGACGCCCCAGAGCGTCGCGATGCTCTCCCTAGCCGCCCCAGAGCGTCGCGATGCTCTCCCCGGACGCCCCAGAGCGTCGCAATGCTCTCCCCGGACGCCCCAGAGCGTCGCGATGCTCTCCCAGGACGCCCCAGAGCGTCGCGATGCTCTCCTCGCACTCCCCAGAGCGTCGCGATGCTCTCCCAGGACGCCCCAAAGCGTCGCGATGCTCTCCCCGGACGCCCCAGAGTGTCGCGATGCTCTCTCCGGACGCCCCAGAGCGTCGCGATGCTCTCCCCGGACGCCCCAGAGTGTCGCGATGCTCTCCCCGGACGCCCCAGAGCGTCGCGATGCTCTCCCCGGACGCCCCAGAGCGTCGCGATGCTCTCCCCGGCCGCCCCAGAGTGTCGCGATGCTCTCCCTGGACGCCCCAGAGCATCGCGATGCTCTCCCCAGCCGCCCTAGAGCATCGTGATGCTCTCCCCGGACGCCCCAGAGCGTCGCGATGCTCTCCCCGGATGCCCCAGAGCGTCACGATGCTCTCCCCGGACGCCCCACAGCGTCGCGATGCTCTTCCAGGACGCCCCAGAGTGTCGCGATGCTCTCCCCGGACGCCCCAGAGCGTTACGATGCTCTCCCGAACGCCCCAGAGCGTCGCGATGCTCTCCCCGGACGCCCCAGAGCGTCGCGATGCTCTCCCCGGACGCCCCAGAGCGTCGCTATGCTCTTCCCGGACGCCCCAGAGCATCGCGATGCTCTCCTCGGACGCCCCAGAGCATCGCGATGCTCTCCCCAGACGCCCCAGAGCGTCGTGTTGCTCTCCCCGGACGCCCCAGAGCGTCGCGATGCTCTCCCCGGACGCCCCAGAGCGTCGCGATGCTCTCCCTAGCCGCCCCAGAGCATCGCGATGCTCTCCCCGGACGCCCCAGAGCGTCGCGATGCTCTCCCAGGACGCCCCAGAGCGTCGCGATGCTCTCCCCGGACGCCCCAGAGCGTCGCTATGCTCTTCCCGGACGCCCCAGAGCGTCGCGATGCTCTCCTCGGACGCCCCAGAGCATCGCGATGCTCTCCCCAGCCGCCCCAGAGCGTCGTGTTGCTCTCCCCGGACGCCCCAGAGCGTCGCGATGCTCTCCCCGGACGCCCCAGAGCGTCGCGATGCTCTCCCTAGCCGCCCCAGAGCATCGCGATGCTCTCCCCGGACGCCCCAGAGCGTCGCGATGCTCTCCCAGGACGCCCCAGAGCGTTGCGATGCTCTCCCCGGACGCCCCAGAGCGTCGCTATGCTCTTCCCGGACGCCCCTGAGCGTTGCGATGCTCTCCCCGGAAGCCCCAGAGCATCGCGATGCTCTCCCCGGACGCCCCAGAGCGTCGCGATGCTCTCCCCAGACGCCCCAGAGCGTCGCTATGCTCTTCCCGGACGCCCCAGAGCGTCGCGATGCTCTCCCCGGACGCCCCAGAGCATCGCGATGCTCTCCCCAGCCGCCCCAGAGCGTCGTGATGCTCTCCCCGGACACCCGGAGAGCGTCGCGATGCTCTCCCCGGACGCCCCAGAGCGTCGCGATGCTCTCCCCGGACGCCCCAGAGCGTCGCGATGCTCTCCCTAGCCGCCCCAGAGCGTCGCGATGCTCTCCCCGGACGCCCCAGAGCGTCGCAATGCTCTCCCCGGACGCCCCAGAGCGTCGCGATGCTCTCCCAGGACGCCCCAGAGCGTCGCGATGCTCTCCTCGCACTCCCCAGAGCGTCGCGATGCTCTCCCAGGACGCCCCAGAGCGTCGCGATGCTCTCCCCGGACGCCCCAGAGTGTCGCGATGCTCTCTCCGGACGCCCCAGAGCGTCGCGATGCTCTCCCCGGACGCCCCAGAGCGTCGCGATGCTCTCCCCGGACGCCCCAGAGCGTGGCGATGCTCTCCCCGGACGCCCCAGAGCGTCGCGATGCTCTCCCCGGCCGCCCCAGAGTGTCGCGATGCTCTCCCTGGACGCCCCAGAGCATCGCGATGCTCTCCCCAGCCGCCCTAGAGCATCGTGATGCTCTCCCCGGACGCCCCAGAGCGTCGCGATGCTCTCCCCGGATGCCCCAGAGCGTCGCGATGCTCTCCCCGGACGCCCCACAGCGTCGCGATGCTCTCCCAGGACGCCCCAGAGCGTCACGATGCTCTCCCCGGACGCCCCAGAGCGTTACGATGCTCTCCCGAACGCCCCAGAGCGTCGCGATGCTCTCCCCGGACGCCCCAGAGCGTCGCGATGCTCTCCCCGGACGCCCCAGAGCGTCGTGATGCTCTCCTCGGACGCCCCAGAGCGTCGCGATGCTCTCCCCGGACGCCCCAGAGCGTCGCGATGCTCTCCCCGGAAGCCCCAGAGCATCGCGATGCTCTCCCAGGACGCCCCAGAGCGTCGCGATGCTCTCCCCGGACGCCCCAGAGCGTCGCGAGGCTCTCCCCAGCCGCCCCAGAGCGTCGTTATGCTCTCCCCAGACGCCCCAGAGCGTCGCGATGCTCTCCCCGGACGCCCCAGAGCGTCGCGATGCTCTCCCCGGGCGCCCCAGAGCGTCGCTATGCTCTCCCCGGACGCCCTAGAGCGTCGCGATGCTCTCCCCGGACGCCCCAGAGCGTCGCGATGCTCTCCTATGACGCCCCAGAGCGTCGCGATGCTCTCCCCGGACGCCCCAGAGCGTCGCTATGCTCTTCCCGGACGCCCCAGAGCGTCGTGATGCTCTCCCCGGACGCCCCAGAGCATCGCGATGCTCTCCCCAGCCGCCCCAGAGCGTCGCGTTGCTCTCCCCGTACGCCCCAGAGCGTCGCGATGCTCTCCCCGGACGCCCCAGAGCGTCGCGATGCTCTCCCTAGCCGCCCCAGAGCATCGCGATGCTCTCTCCGGACGCCCCAGAGCATCGCGATGCTCTCCCCGGACGCCCCAGAGCGTCGCTATGCTCTCCCCGGACGCCCCAGAGCGTCGCGATGCTCTCCTCGCACTCCCCAGAGCGTCGCGATGCTCTCCCAGGACGCCCCAGAGCGTTGCGATGCTCTCCCCGGACGCCCCAGAGCGTTGCGATGCTCTCCCCGGAAGCCCCAGAGCATCGCGATGCTCTCCCCGGACGCCCCAGAGCGTCGCGATGCTCTCCCCGGACGCCCCAGAGCGTCGCGATGCTCTCCCCGGACGCCCCAGAGCATCGCGATGCTCTCCCCAGCCGCCCCAGAGCGTCGTGATGCTCTGCCCGGACGCCCCAGAGCGTCGCGATGCTCTCCCCGGACGCCACAGAGCGTCGCGATGCTCTCCCCGGACGCCCCAGAGCATCGCGATGCTCTCCCCAGCCGCCCCAGAGCGTCGTGATGCTCTCCCCGGACGCCCCAGAGCGTCGCGATGCTCTCCCCGGACGCCCCAGAGGGTCGTGATGCTCTCCCCGGACGCCCCAGAGCGTCGCGATGCTCTCCCCGGACGCCCCAGAGCGTCGCGATGCTCTCCCTAGCCGCCCCAGAGCGTCGCGATGCTCTCCCCGGACGCCCCAGAGCGTCGCGATGCTCTCCCCGGACGCCACAGAGCGTTGCGATGCTCTCCCCGGAAGCCCCAGAGCATCGCGATGCTCTCCCCGGACGCCCCAGAGCGTCGCGATGCTCTCCCCGGACGCCCCAGAGCGTCGCGATGCTCTCCCCGGACGCCCCAGAGCATCGCGATGCTCTCCCCAGCCGCCCCAGAGCGTCGTGATGCTCTGCCCGGACGCCCCAGAGCGTCGCGATGCTCTCCCCGGACGCCACAGAGCGTCGCGATGCTCTCCCCGGACGCCCCAGAGCATCGCGATGCTCTCCCCAGCCGCCCCAGAGCGTCGTGATGCTCTCCCCGGACGCCCCAGAGCGTCGCGATGCTCTCCCCGGACGCCCCAGAGGGTCGTGATGCTCTCCCCGGACGCCCCAGAGCGTCGCGATGCTCTCCCCGGACGCCCCAGAGCGTCGCGATGCTCTCCCTAGCCGCCCCAGAGCGTCGCGATGCTCTCCCCGGACGCCCCAGAGCGTCGCGATGCTCTCCCCGGACGCCACAGAGCGTCGCGATGCTCTCCCCGGACGCCCCAGAGCATCGCGATGCTCTCCCCAGCCGCCCCAGAGCGTCGTGATGCTCTCCCCGGACGCCCCAGAGCGTCGCGATGCTCTCCCCGGACGCCCCAGAGGGTCGTGATGCTCTCCCCGGACGCCCCAGAGCGTCGCGATGCTCTCCTTGGACGCCCCAGAGCGTCGCGATGCTCTCCCTAGCCGCCCCAGAGCGTCGCGATGCTCTCCCCGGACGCCCCAGAGCGTCGCGATGCTCTCCCCGGACGCCCCAGAGCGTCGCGATGCTCTCCCAGGACGCCCCAGAGCGTCGCGATGCTCTCCTCGCACTCCCCAGAGCGTCGCGATGCTCTTCCAGGACGCCCCAGAGCGTCGCGATGCTCTCCTCGCACTCTCCAGAGCGTCGCGATGCTCTTCCCGGACGCCCCTGAGCGTCGCGATGCTCTCCCCGGAAGCCCCAGAGCATCGCGATGCTCTCCCCGGACACCTCAGAGCGTCGCGATGCTCTCCCCGGACGCCCCAGAGCGTCGCGATGCTCTCCCCGGACGCCCCAGAGCGTCGCGATGCTCTCCCCAGCCGCCCCAGAGCGTCGCGATGCTCTCCCCGGACGCCCCAGAGCGTCGCGATGCTCTCCCCGGTCGCCCCAGAGCGTCGCGATGCTCTCCCAGGACGCCCCAGAGCGTCGCGATGCTCTCCCCGAACGCCCCAGAGTGTCGCGATGCTCTCCCCGGACACCCCAGAGCGTTGCGATGCTCTCCCGAACGCCCCAGAGCGTCGCGATGCTCTCCCCGGACGCCCTAGAGCGTCGCGATGCTCTCCCCGGACGCCCCAGAGCGTCGTGATGCTCTCCCCGGACGCCCCAGAGCGTCGCGATGCTCTCTCCGGACGCCCCAGAGCGTCGCGATGCTCTCCCCGGACGCCCTAGAGCATCGCGATGCTCTCCCCGGACGCCCCAGAGCGTCGCGATGCTCTCCCTGGACGCTCCAGAGCGTCGCGATGCTCTCCCCGGACGCCCCAGAGCGTCGCGATGCTCTCCCAGGACGCCCCAGAGCGTCGCGATGCTCTCCCCGAACGCCCCAGAGTGTCGCGATGCTCTCTCCAGACGCCCCAGGGCGTTGCGATGTTCTCCCGAACGCCCCAGAGCGTCGCGATGCTCTCCCCGGACGCCCCAGAGCGTCGCGATGCTCTCCCCGGACGCCCCAGAGCGTCGTGATGCTCTCTCCGGACGCCCCAGAGCGTCGCGATGCTCTCCCCGTACGCCCCAGAGCGTCGCGATGCTCTCCCCGGACGCCCCAGAGCATCGCGATGCTCTCCCCAGCCGCCCCAGAGCGTTATGATGCTCTCCCCGGACGCCCCAGAGCGTCGTGATGCTCTCCCCGGACGCCCCAGAGCGTCGCGATGCTCTCCCCGGACGCCCCAGAGCGTCGCGATGCTCTCCCCGGACGCCCCAGAGCGTCGCGATGCTCTCCCCGGCCGCCCCAGAGTGTCGCGATGCTCTCCCCGGACGCCCCAGAGCCACGCGATGCTCTCCCCAGCCGCCCTAGAGCGTCGTGATGCTCTCCCCGGACGCCCCAGAGCGTCGCGATGCTCTCCCCGGACGCCCCAGAGCGTCGCGATGCTCTCCCCGGACGCCCCACAGCGTCGCGATGCTCTCCCCGGACGCCCCAGAGCGTCGCGATGCTCTCCCAGGACGCCCCAGAGCGTCGCGATGCTCTCCCCGGACGCCCCAGAGCGTCGCTATGCTCTTCCCAGACGCCCCAGAGCGTCGCGATGCTCTCCCCGGAAGCCCCAGAGCATCGCGATGCTCTCCCCGGACGCCCCAGAGCGTCGCGATGCTCTCCCCGGACGCCCCAGAGCGTCGCGATGCTCTCCCCGGACGCCCCAGAAAATCGGGATGCTCTCCCCAGCCGCCCCAGAGCGTCGTGATGCTCTCCCCGGACGCCCCAGAGCGTCGCGATGCTCTCCCCGGACGCCCCAGAGGGTCGCGATGCTCTCCCCGGACGCCCCAGAGCGTCGCGATGCTCTCCCCAGACGCCCCAGAGCGTCGCGATGCTCTCCCCGGACGCCCCAGATCGTCGCGATGCTCTCCCCGGAAGCCCCAGAGCATCGCGATGCTCTCCCTGGACGCCCAGAGCGTCGCGATGCTCTCCCCGGACGCCCTAGAGCGTCGCGATGCTCTCCCCGGACGCCCCAGAGCGTCGCGATGCTCTCCCCGGACGCCCCAGAGCGTCTCGATGCTCTCCCCGGACGCCCCAGAGCGTCGCGATGCTCTCCCAGGACGCCCCAGAGCGTCGCGATGCTCTCCTCAGACGCCCCAGAGCGTCGCTATGCTCTTCCCGGACGCCCCAGAGCGTCGCGATGCTCTCCCCGGAAGCCCCAGAGCATCGCGATGCTCTCCCCGGACGCCCCAGAGCGTCGCAATGCTCTCCTCGGACGCCCTAGAGCGTGGCGATGCTCTCCCCGGACGCCCCAGAGCATCGCGATGCTCTCCCCAGCCGCCCCAGAGCGTCGTGATGCTCTCCCCGGACGCCCCAGAGCGTTGGGATGCTCTCCCCGGACGCCCCAGAGCGTCGCGATGCTCTCCCCGGACGCCCCAGAGCGTCGCAATGCTCTCCCCAGCTGCCCCAGAGCGTCGCGATGCTCTCCCCGGACGCCCCAGAGCGTCGCGATGCTCTCCCCGGACGCCCCAGAGCGTCGCGATGCTCTCCCCGGACACCCCAGAGGGTCGCGATGTTCTCCCCAGACGCCCTAGAGCGTCGCGATGCTCTCCCCAGACGCCCTAGAGCTTCGCGATGCTCTTCCAGGACGCCCTAGAGCGTCGCGATGCTCTCCTCGGAAGCCCCAGAGCATCGCAATGCTCTCCTTGGACGCCCCAGAGCGTCGCGATGCTCTCCCCGGACGCCCTAGAGCGTCGCGATGCTCTCCCCGGACGCCCCAGAGCGTCGCGATGCTCTACCCGGACGCCCCAGAGCGTCTCGATGCTCTCCCCGGACGCCCCAGAGCGTCGCGATGCTCTCCCAGGACGCCCCAGAGCGTCGCGATGCTCTCCTCAGACGCCCCAGAGCGTCGCTATGCTCTTCCCGGACGCCCCAGAGCGTCGCGATGCTCTCCCCGGAAGCCCCAGAGCATCGCGATGCTCTCCCCGGACGCCCCAGAGCGTCGCAATGCTCTCCTCGGACGCCCTAGAGCGTGGCGATGCTCTCCCCGGACGCCCCAGAGCATCGCGATGCTCTCCCCAGCCGCCCCAGAGCGTCGTGATGCTCTCCCCGGACGCCCCAGAGCGTTGGGATGCTCTCCCCGGACGCCCCAGAGCGTCGCGATGCTCTCCCCGGACGCCCCAGAGCGTCGCAATGCTCTCCCCAGCTGCCCCAGAGCGTCGCGATGCTCTCCCCGGACGCCCCAGAGCGTCGCGATGCTCTCCCCGGACGCCCCAGAGCGTCGCGATGCTCTCCCCGGACACCCCAGAGGGTCGCGATGTTCTCCCCAGACGCCCTAGAGCGTCGCGATGCTCTCCCCAGACGCCCTAGAGCTTCGCGATGCTCTTCCAGGACGCCCTAGAGCGTCGCGATGCTCTCCTCGGAAGCCCCAGAGCATCGCAATGCTCTCCTTGGACGCCCCAGAGCGTCGCGATGCTCTCCTCGGACGCCCCAGAGCGTCGCGATGCTCTCCTCGGACGCCCCAGAGCGTCGCGATGCTCTACCCGGACGCCCCAGAGCATCGCGATACTCTCCCCAGCCGCCCCAGAGCGTCGCGATGCTCTCCCGAACGCCCCAGAGCGTCGTGATGCTCTCCCCGGACGCCCCAGAGCGTCTTGATGCTCTCCCCGGAAGCCCCAGAGCGTCGCGATGATCTCCCCGGACGCCCCAGAGCGTCGCGATGCTCTCCCTGGACGCCCCAGAGCGTCGCGATGCTCTCCCCGGACGCCCCAGAGCGTCGCGATGCTCTCCCCGGACGCCCCAGAGCGTCTCGATGCTCTCCCCGGACGCCCCAGAGCGTCGCGATGCTCTCCCAGGACGCCCCAGAGCGTCGCGATGCTCTCCTCAGACGCCCCAGAGCGTCGCTATGCTCTTCCCGGACGCCCCAGAGCGTCGCGATGCTCTCCCCGGAAGCCCCAGAGCATCGCGATGCTCTCCCCGGACGCCCCAGAGCGTCGCAATGCTCTCCTCGGACGCCCTAGAGCGTGGCGATGCTCTCCCCGGACGCCCCAGAGCATCGCGATGCTCTCCCCAGCCGCCCCAGAGCGTCGTGATGCTCTCCCCGGACGCCCCAGAGCGTTGGGATGCTCTCCCCGGACGCCCCACAGCGTCGCGATGCTCTCCCCGGACGCCCCAGAGCGTCGCGATGCTCTCCCAGGACGCCCCAGAGCGTCGCGATGCTCTCCCCGGACGCCCCAGAGCGTCGCTATGCTCTTCCCAGACGCCCGAGAGCGTCGCGATGCTCTCCCCGGAAGCCCCAGAGCATCGCGATGCTCTCCCCGGACGCCCCAGAGCGTCGCGATGCTCTCCCCGGACGCCCCAGAGCGTCGCGATGCTCTCCCCGGACGCCCCAGAGAATCGCGATGCTCTCCCCAGCCGCCCCAGAGCGTCGTGATGCTCTCCCCGGACGCCCCAGAGCGTCGCGATGCTCTCCCCGGACGCCCCAGAGGGTCGCGATGCTCTCCCCGGACGCCCCAGAGCGTCGCAATGCTCTCCCCAGCTGCCCCAGAGCGTCGCGATGCTCTCCCCGGACGCCCCAGAGCGTCACGATGCTCTCCCCGGACGCCCCAGAGCGTCGCGATGCTCTCCCCAGACGCCCCAGAGCGTCGCGATGCTCTCCCCGGACGCCCCAGATCGTCGCGATGCTCTCCCCGGAAGCCCCAGAGCATCGCGATGCTCTCCCTGGACGCCCAGAGCGTCGCGATGCTCTCCCCGGACGCCCTAGAGCGTCGCGATGCTCTCCCCGGACGCCCCAGAGCGTCGCGATGCTCTCCCCGGACGCCCCAGAGCGTCTCGATGCTCTCCCCGGACGCCCCAGAGCGTCGCGATGCTCTCCCAGGACGCCCCAGAGCGTCGCGATGCTCTCCTCAGACGCCCCAGAGCGTCGCTATGCTCTTCCCGGACGCCCCAGAGCGTCGCGATGCTCTCCCCGGAAGCCCCAGAGCATAGCGATGCTCTCCCCGGACGCCCCAGAGCGTCGCAATGCTCTCCTCGGACGCCCTAGAGCGTGGCGATGCTCTCCCCGGACGCCCCAGAGCATCGCGATGCTCTCCCCAGCCGCCCCAGAGCGTCGTGATGCTCTCCCCGGACGCCCCAGAGCGTTGGGATGCTCTCCCCGGACGCCCCAGAGCGTCGCGATGCTCTCCCCGGACGCCCCAGAGCGTCGCAATGCTCTCCCCAGCTGCCCCAGAGCGTCGCGATGCTCTCCCCGGACGCCCCAGAGCGTCGCGATGCTCTCCCCGGACGCCCCAGAGCGTCGCGATGCTCTCCCCGGACACCCCAGAGGGTCGCGATGTTCTCCCCAGACGCCCTAGAGCGTCGCGATGCTCTCCCCAGAAGCCCTAGAGCTTCGCGATGCTCTTCCAGGACGCCCTAGAGCGTCGCGATGCTCTCCTCGGAAGCCCCAGAGCATCGCAATGCTCTCCTTGGACGCCCCAGAGCGTCGCGATGCTCTCCTCGGACGCCCCAGAGCGTCGCGATGCTCTCCTCGGACGCCCCAGAGCGTCGCGATGCTCTACCCGGACGCCCCAGAGCATCGCGATACTCTCCCCAGCCGCCCCAGAGCGTCGCGATGCTCTCCCGAACGCCCCAGAGCGTCGTGATGCTCTCCCCGGACGCCCCAGAGCGTCTTGATGCTCTCCCCGGACGCCCCAGAGCGTCGCGATGATCTCCCCGGACGCCCCAGAGCGTCGCGATGCTCTCCCTGGACGCCCCACAGCGTTGCGATGCTCTCCCCGGACGCCCCAGAGCGTCGCGATGCTCTCCCCGGACGCCCCAGAGCGTCTCGATGCTCTCCCCGGACGCCCCAGAGCGTCGCGATGCTCTCCCAGGACGCCCCAGAGCGTCGCGATGCTCTCCTCAGACGCCCCAGAGCGTCGCTATGCTCTTCCCGGACGCCCCAGAGCGTCGCGATGCTCTCCCCGGAAGCCCCAGAGCATCGCGATGCTCTCCCCGGACGCCCCAGAGCGTCGCAATGCTCTCCTCGGACGCCCTAGAGCGTGGCGATGCTCTCCCCGGACGCCCCAGAGCATCGCGATGCTCTCCCCAGCCGCCCCAGAGCGTCGTGATGCTCTCCCCGGACGCCCCAGAGCGTTGGGATGCTCTCCCCAGACGCCCCAGAGCGTCGCGATGCTCTCCCCGGACGCCCCAGAGTGTCGCAATGCTCTCCCCAGCTGCCCCAGAGCGTCGCGATGCTCTCCCCGGACGCCCCAGAGCGTCGCGATGCTCTCCCCGGACGCCCCAGAGCGTCGCGATGCTCTCCCCGGACACCCCAGAGGGTCGCGATGTTCTCCCCAGACGCCCTAGAGCGTCGCGATGCTCTCCCCAGACGCCCTAGAGCTTCGCGATGCTCTTCCAGGACGCCCTAGAGCGTCGCGATGCTCTCCTCGGAAGCCCCAGAGCATCGCAATGCTCTCCTTGGACGCCCCAGAGCGTCGCGATGCTCTCCTCGGACGCCCCAGAGCGTCGCGATGCTCTCCTCGGACGCCCCAGAGCGTCGCGATGCTCTACCCGGACGCCCCAGAGCATCGCGATACTCTCCCCAGCCGCCCCAGAGCGTCGCGATGCTCTCCCGAACGCCCCAGAGCGTCGTGATGCTCTCCCCGGACGCCCTAGAGCGTCTTGATGCTCTCCCCGGACGCCCCAGAGCGTCGCGATGATCTCCCCGGACGCCCCAGAGCGTCGCGATGCTCTCCCTGGACGCCCCAGAGCGTCGCGATGCTCTCCCCGGACGCCCCAGAGCGTCGCGATGCTCTCCTCGGACGCCCCAGAGCGTCGCTATGCTCTTCTCGGACGCCCCAGAGCGTCGCGATGCTCTCGCCGGAAGCCCCAGAGAATCGCGATGCTCTCCCTGGACGCCCCAGAGCGTCGCAATGCTCTCCCCAGACGCCCCAGAGCGTCGCGATGCTCTCCTCGGACGCCCCAGAGCATCGCGATGCTCTCCCCAGCCGCCCCAGAGCGTCGTGATGCTCTCCCCGGACGCCCCAGAGCGTCGCGATGCTCTCCCCGGACGCCCCAGAGCGTCGCGATGCTCTCCCCGGACGCCCCAGAGCGTCGCGATGCTCTCCCCAGCCGCCCCAGAGCGTCGCGATGCTCTCCCTGACACCCCAGAGCGTCGCGATGCTCTCCCCGGACGCCCCAGAGCGTCGCGATGCTCTCCCCGGACGCCCCAGAGCGTCGCGATGCTCTCCCCGGACACCCCAGAGTGTCGCGATGCTCTCCCCGGACGCCCAAGAGCGTCGCGATGCTCTCCCAAGACGCCACAGAGCGTCGCGATGCTCTCCCCGGACGCCCCATAGCGTCGCTATGCTCTTCCAGGACGCCCCAGAGTGTCGCGATGCTCTCCCCGGAAGCCCCAGAGCATCGCGATGCTCTCCCCGGACGCCCCAGAGCGTCGCAATGCTCTCCTCGGACGCCCTAGAGCGTGGCGATGCTCTCCCCGGACGCCCGAGAGCATCGCGATGCTCTCCCCAGCCGCCCCAGAGCGTCGTGATGCTCTCCCCGGACGCCCCAGAGCGTTGGGATGCTCTCCCCGGACGCCCCAGAGCGTCGCGATGCTCTCCCCGGACGCCCCAGAGTGTCGCAATGCTCTCCCCAGCTGCCCCAGAGCGTCGCGATGCTCTCCCCGGACGCCCCAGAGCGTCGCGATGCTCTCCCCGGACGCCCCAGAGCGTCGCGATGCTCTCCCCGGACACCCCAGAGGGTCGCGATGTTCTCCCCAGACGCCCTAGAGCGTCGCGATGCTCTCCCCAGACGCCCTAGAGCTTCGCGATGCTCTTCCAGGACGCCCTAGAGCGTCGCGATGCTCTCCTCGGAAGCCCCAGAGCATCGCAATGCTCTCCTTGGACGCCCCAGAGCGTCGCGATGCTCTCCTCGGACGCCCCAGAGCGTCGCGATGCTCTCCTCGGACGCCCCAGAGCGTCGCGATGCTCTACCCGGACGCCCCAGAGCATCGCGATACTCTCCCCAGCCGCCCCAGAGCGTCGCGATGCTCTCCCGAACGCCCCAGAGCGTCGTGATGCTCTCCCCGGACGCCCCAGAGCGTCTTGATGCTCTCCCCGGACGCCCCAGAGCGTCGCGATGATCTCCCCGGACGCCCCAGAGCGTCGCGATGCTCTCCCTGGACGCCCCAGAGCGTCGCGATGCTCTCCCCGGACGCCCCAGAGCGTCGCGATGCTCTCCTCGGACGCCCCAGAGCGTCGCTATGCTCTTCTCGGACGCCCCAGAGCGTCGCGATGCTCTCGCCGGAAGCCCCAGAGCATCGCGATGCTCTCCCTGGACGCCCCAGAGCGTCGCAATGCTCTCCCCAGACGCCCCAGAGCGTCGCGATGCTCTCCTCGGACGCCCCAGAGCATCGCGATGCTCTCCCCAGCCGCCCCAGAGCGTCGTGATGCTCTCCCCGGACGCCCCAGAGCGTCGCGATGCTCTCCCCGGACGCCCCAGAGCGTCGCGATGCTCTCCCCGGACGCCCCAGAGCGTCGCGATGCTCTCCCCAGCCGCCCCAGAGCGTCGCGATGCTCTCCCTGACACCCCAGAGCGTCGCGATGCTCTCCCCGGACGCCCCAGAGCGTCGCGATGCTCTCCCCGGACGCCCCAGAGCGTCGCGATGCTCTCCCCGGACACCCCAGAGTGTCGCGATGCTCTCCCCGGACGCCCAAGAGCGTCGCGATGCTCTCCCAAGACGCCACAGAGCGTCGCGATGCTCTCCCCGGACGCCCCATAGCGTCGCTATGCTCTTCCAGGACGCCCCAGAGTGTCGCGATGCTCTCCCCGGAAGCCCCAGAGCATCGCGATGCCCTCCTTGGACGCCCCAGAGCGTCGCGATGCTCTCCTCGGACGCCCCAGAGCGTCGCGATGCTCTCCTCGGACGCCCCAGAGCGTCGCGATGCTCTACTCGGACGCCCAAGAGCGTCGCGATACTCTCTCCAGCCGCCCAGAGCGTCGCGATGCTGTCCCGGACACCCGAGAGCGTCGCGATGCTCTCCCCGGACGCCCAAGAGCGTCGCGATGCTCTCCCAAGACGCCCCAGAGCGTCGCGATGCTCTCCCCGGACGCCCCAGAGCGTCGCTATGCTCTCCAAGGACGCCCCAGAGTGTCGCGATGCTCTCCCCGGAAGCCCCAGAGCATCGCGATGCTCTCCTCGGACGCCCCAGAGCATCGCGATGCTCTCCTCGGACGCCCCAGAGCGTCGCGATGCTCTACTCGGACGCCCAAGAGCGTCGCGATACTCTCCCCAGCCGCCCCAGAGCGTCGCGATGCTCTCCCGGACGCCCCAGAGCGTCGCGATGCTCTCCCCGGACGCCCCACAGCGTCGCGATGCTCTCCCCGGACGCCCCAGAGCATCGCGATGCTCTCCCCGGACGCCCCAGAGCGTCGCGATGCTCTCCCTGGACGCCCTAGAGCGTCGCGATGCTCTCCCCGGACGCCCCAGAGCGTCGCGATGCTCTCCCTGGACGCCCCAGAGCGTCGCGATGCTCTCCCCGGGCGCCCCAGAGCGTTGCGATGCTCTCCTCAAACGCCCCAGAGCGTCGTGATGCCCTCCCCGGACGCCCCAGAGCGTCGCGATGCTCTCCCCAGACGCCCCAGAGCGTCGCGATGCTCTCTCCGGACGCCCCAGAGCATTGCGATGCTCTCCCCAGCCGCCCCAGAGCGTCGTGATGCATTCCCCGGACGCCCCAGAGCGTCGCGATGCTCTCCCCGGACGCCCCAGAGCGTCGCGATGCTCTCCCCGGACGCCCCAGAGCGTCGCGATGCTCTCCCCGGACGCCCCAGAGCATCGCGATGCTCTCCCCAGCCGCCCCAGAGCGTCGCGATGCTCTCCCCGGACGCCCCAGAGCGTCGCGTTCCTCTCCCCGGACGCCCCAGAGCGTCGCGATGCTCTCCCCGGACGCCCCAGAGCGTCGCGATGCTCTACCCAGACTCCCCAGAGCGTCGCGATGCTCTCCCCAGCC